TACACGTAGCTTTTATTGTTAAAAATTCTGAATGTTTTATAAAATACATTATTTTGCAGTACAATCATTTGTACTTAGTTGGACAAGTAGTGCAAGTATGCAAAGTGTATTATTTCATTTGTAATAATTTGTCAACGCTGTGTAGTTTATAATATTTTTTTTTTTTTATATTCCACCCTATCAATGGGCCTCTGTTTCGCGGTATCACAATAAATACCCATGATAACGACACGCCGACACAGGACTACTTGCACATATTGTATTTTTTTCCAGTAAATCAAATACACGTGACTCCTAGAATACGGAAAGTAACACGATCTTCTTACTGTTTTATTGCGATTTAAATACAGAGCGATGGGATTGAGTTCGACGTCTGCGGCGTGTGAATTCACGTCGAAAGACATAAAGAAGGGGAGGGGGGGCGGAGGTATGTGAAAATAGCACAGAGACCCCCCCGCAGGGCGTTTTATTACATTGTTTATAGTGTGTAGGCGTTACACCCGACCGTTATGAAAGTTTAAAAGTTTCGATGCCGCGGTCATCAAGTGCCGCGTTTAAAATCCACATGGCGGAGACGAGAGACTCGATTTTTATTGCACCCGCAATGTATATGGAACAGAACGGAACGAATTTAACGGGATTATTGCGGTTTTGCTCTACTCTGTATTATTATTATTATTATTATGTGTATTCCACACCGCCAGCACACGGATAGTCTAGGAGTTTTATATAACTTGACGGTTAAAAGGCAAATGTAATCTAATAAAAAAAAAAAAAGGCCCGAACAGTTACCGTTCTACAATTTACGCGCAGCACCAGAGCAGAACAATAAGTAACAGCCGCATAATCGCGTGATAACAATAAGACTATTGCGGCTTCACGTTTAAGGATTGTCATTATTATGATTACATGACTGTATACAGTGCGATACGCTTATCGTAAAAAGGCGGTTTTTCTGGGAATTTCAAAAGTGATTTGATTTATTTTTGTTTTCTAATCATTTTTTATAACACGGAAACGTTTAATATTTATTTTTACGGTATTTTCAATTATTTACTCGTAGGTAATTCTCGTATACCTTAAATCACTATACACACTTTTGATTTTCAAACGTGAAAACCTCCGCCTCGGTTTTCCGTATGGTATGAATTTCAAATGTACGGGCGTTTATAACGCGTCAACACGGGAACCACGGCCTTCATACACGTTCTACCTTTAATCTTGTTGGAAAATTATTATTAATCCGATAATTACGGGAAATGTGAAAATTTTAGTGGTTTTGATTTTTAAAAAATTACCAAAATTCATCTCGTTGAATTTTTTCTGAGCACGCTGTTGTCCGAATTTTCCCCCGTTTTATCAGTTTATGCGCAATAATTGTATATTTTGAATACGTAATTCCGTGCCAATGTTTGGATAACAACAAATTTGAATAAATTCAGTTGTTTACTGCAAATTAACCATAGTCAAAAATTTGTTGATACACGATAACCTCAATCCGCCACTGTTGTCAATATCGTATTATCTATAATTTGATCACAAAGCTGGTCTGAGAGAACTATTGGTTTGTCCCCTTGTATTTTCGTATCGAAAAGACATAATTTTTGCGATCGTATAATATGTATTTTTTGCAGTTGTCAAAATCAAACGGATTCCTCAAATAATATGACGAATAGGGTTATCAAAACACTATAGTTTTTTTTTTTTTTTTTTAAAGTTATCAAATGATGAACCGCAGACGAGTTTTGTCCGATTTGTCTTATTTATTTACGGTTCATTTATTGCATAACAACGTATAACATTATATTCTTCCGCGAACAATTTTTGTTTTATTTCACTTGTTATTTTTTTTCCTCCGCTTAACCACATGATGTTTCCCATCGTTCTGACTGCTTTCAATTAGGTTAGGTAAGGTTAAGTCGATGTTATTATTCGTGCGTATCATATGATTTGTATAGTAAGTACCTATCTACCTATTTGTTTCGATGATTTATTTAGACGGTTTTTTTTTTTATATTCGGAGAGATCTATTGGTTTTACAATGACTGTGTTTTGTGTTATGTTTGTGAGCTGAACAATTTTTCTACTAAAAAGCTTGTTCTCGTGCGTATCAAGTAATGCACATTGTCTGAAAGGAAATTTTAACTAGCTATAGTGGATAAAGGAGTTCGTTTTTTGATTTTTAAGAGGTTTTTATGAAAATTACAATATTCGGATTCCGGGAAAAGAATATGGGAATAACAGCAAATATATTTTTTACCAAGTCATATTTTTTTGTTAAATTTTAAACAATATTGAACATTATATAGAAAAAAGAAGTTTTTTGGTTTTTCAGGGTAATTTTATGATCATTTTGAAAACTGGAAAAAGATTTATTTATAAGATTATTTATAGACATTATTATTTTGTAAGTTTTTTATATAATTTTTATTCGGAAGGTACTTTGTGGATAAAATCGATTGATTGAACAAAAATTCTAAAAGACATATATAATGTCTTTGTGGTCAATAATTGAACATTTTGTGGTTTTTTTTTTTTTTTTTTGTATACGATTTACAGGCAAATTTTTAAAACTGTTAATATTACGGCCTTTTAAAACATTTATCGTTTTTCGTCAGTAATGGTTTATTTTCGGTTACGGACATTAATTGAAATAACTTAATATAATGTTCTACCTAACCGACATAACACCCACAACAGTGGCGCACCCGTACCCAGATCTTTTTTATTAAAATATATGATATTACGTAATAACTTTCATACGCATGAATTATTTTGCAAATGTATCCATTTTGTAGATTATTTTCCGTACTCAAAAATAAAATATTTCAGAGATTAAATCAATTGGTTTAAACTAAAAGTGTAGTAAAACGGCAGCTCCGCAATGTATTGTGAAAACTATATTTTAAATGTTTTTTTTTTTTTTTTTCTGTTTGTTTTAGATTAATATATTCGTATCGATGATAATATAACTATAATCGGTTCCATTTCGTATTTCAACCGTTTAAAAAAGCATGTTATTGTTTGGATTAACGAACGGGAAAAAAAAAAATTTTAATATTTATCGCAGAGTTATTTATTTTAAAAATGTTTTATTTAAATTGTCGGGGGTACGATTTAATTATAAACAGTATATTAGGCCTGACGATAATGCACAATAATAACCGGCTTTTTTTTTTTTTTTACAATGTATTCGTTTTTATATGAAATTTGTTTTTTGTGTAGGTATAGAGAACAATTTCACGGACATTCGAACGGTATTTACACGCGCTGTACAATCGCATTATTGTTATTACGTATCGTACGACTTGAATGATCGCGCGTGCCGTCTGTTAATTCGTACACAATAAATGCGCATGTATGTTGTCGGTCGGTTTCAATCGATCGAGTGCAATTGTACGACGGTTGACCGTTTCGATAGTGGTTTTTTTTTTTTAAATACGGTCGTATTTCTCGTTTCCCAGACAGAACGTGTCGCGGGAAAATGCGAAGCAACCCGCGCGCACGTCCGTATCAAGTACAGCGGTGCACGTTCGGTTTGTCGGCGATATTTACGACATCGGCCGTCGATAACGCGTTTTACGCGCGCGGTAGCGCAACAGTAACGTCGATCCGTTACGGGTCGAATACCGGTTCCGTCGACGTACCCCGTCCGCGCCGTTTCGTTTGGTTCCGCGACGAAACGTCGGTGCCCATCGTAAAACGATTCCGTTGCGCCAGCTCGTTTGCCGCGAACACCGTTACACTGTCGTTATTATATTTCACTCCAAAACGCGCCGCGTCCCGTACGTCATGCGCGGTAACCGTTAATTTGTCGTTTTAGAGACGGCGGCGGCGGCGACGACGACGATAACAATAACGTTAATGTTTAACGCGGTATGGTACGAATTGGTCGTATTTCCAATCCACGTCGCGGGGGCAATAACGTGTCGTTCGACGCGCTACGCGATTCCGTCTCGACCCGTCGGATCGTTTAACGTAATGAACGTTGCACGGAGAAACGTTTGGCAGTGCCGCGGCGAGAACGGGAGATAATCGTTTTTTGAAAAATTATCTCGACGTAAAAGCGTACCGGATACCGTAGTCTACGCGCGTACGGATCGCGATTTTTTCGCGATTGAAGCACACACAATAGTTACACGGATCGTCGTTTTCCGTTTCGGCGCATTCGGTTCAATCGGTATTTCGAATGATCCGTTTGTGTTTTCGGCGCGATTATTTTCGACGCGCGACGGAGACGAGTTATCCGGTAAATTAATATTATCGTATTTTGCGTGATATTGTATCGTAAATTCGATAACGGTTAGCGGATTTGCGTTTGCTATCGCACCGACGGAGATGGCACCTGATAGTGTGCAATCGGCGTATTATTGTTTTTGTCGGAGAGATTTCTCACTTTTTCGAATACGGGCTGAGAAACGCGGTTGGCCACGTGAAAATCAAAAAGTATATTCGTATAGAACGGGAATAAAACGTGGACCGAATTAAAAATAATATCGTTAAATACGTTAAATTTATCCGGTTTGCCGTCGATGATTGCTGGATCGCGGTGAAACACACGCCGTATACATTATAATTTCATTTGATTAGCTTGCATTGTTAACGATTCCCATGGGGATATTCCGAAAATAGCGGTACGTTTAATATTAATAATAATATTATTATACTAATATCGTTCGACTATTATCGGGAAACCGGCCTGCTTTAAATCGCCGGCCATGGACCCATTGTCCTCGGTTCACGATATATTATCAAAAGTGACGTTTATGGTCGAGACCTTTATGCACCCCGGCCCGAACTGCCTTCGAAATGTCCCGAAAACCCTTAGTTTCTGGTGGAGGGGACGTAGAGGGAGGGGTAGGCAGCGGAGGTAGTTAGTCGCTGTGGCAGGCGCTTAAAATTACCGTCGCGGTTTTGCTACGTAACAGTTCCGGTCGGTCGGGGTCCGGTCTTTGCGCAGCGTTCCACATGCTCGGTGTATACGACAAAAACCCGATACACGTATTGATATATTATTGTATATGTACAAAAATCGTATTAATAACTTTTAACTTTCGTCACCATTGTTATCGTGAAAAGGGACGAACATGAATATTTTCCAAAAACCAATAGTATGTATACGTCTGTAAAAATTGTTGGAAAATGCTCCGAAATCGAGCTGAAAATTCCTTAAAAGTGACGACTCAAAAATCCCAAAAAAAAAAAAAAAATAAAAAAAAAAATAGGACAACAACAAAAAATGCAAAATAAAAGTTTAACTCATGTACCTAGTCATAATTAATTTTAGCCCGACTAACACAGAACAGCCAATCATAGATATAAAATAAAGCCGTCATCGATACGATAAACGTTAAAACGACTAACGATCCGTATTGAATACAGATGGAGTATTAAAATAAACTATTGAATCAATTTCACAACAAAATCTAAAAAAATATTTTAAACCACTTAAATATAAACTATTAATTCGTATAATTATTGTATAAATATGCACTAAAAACCATAGAGCTTGTACCAATAGACGGGCAATGCACGTCTATGCTGCTGTCAAATCTAGAGAGCGCTTTTTAATGAATCATGATTTAATAGGGAACGGATTTTTATGCAAATGCATATTTTTATTAGGAAAATATATTTAAGAACAATGTATTTGGAAATCGTTGTAAAAGATCATCCAACAAATAAAAAAAAAAAAAAAAAAAACACAGCATTGAAATTCTGTTTTTAGTCTGTGTACACACATATTGGATAATTATTATTATAAATTATCGTAAATATATTTCCACACAATCAAATAATTACAATTGTTTTAGAGGTGTTATTCCGAGTAGTGCGAAAAATCTGTTCATTTCATTGAAAATCGTGTGTATTTATTCGGGAAAAAAATGTTCGGTTCATTAAAATGCTATAAATCGTTCAAGCTATCGTATTATATACGGTTTAAGATGTGCGGAATGTTTTTTCCGGGCGGTAGTGTTTTTTTTTTTTTTTTTTTTACAATTTTTTAAATACCCAAATTGTTTTTTGAAAAACGTATACAAAGCCGATGGTAAAATCTAGGTACATTTAGTTACGAGTTGGTATAAATAAATTATGTTGCTAAATCCGAAAAAAAGATCATTGACAGGAAACGTACCGTAGTAAAGTACTATCAAAATACTGTAATATTTTGCACTGCATCGGAGTCGTCGCTGTCGAAAGCACAATTATATGTAGGTAAAAATTTTTTTGACGTAAAAACTTTTTTTGCTATTTTTTTTTTTTTTAAATTTGTTTTAGTTTTTTACTAAAGTCGATTAAAGTGGTCTTATATATTCTCCTTTTCCTGTGTAGACTTCACGTATTTTCCACTGACATGCATTATATTTATACGATATAAAAAAAAAAAAAGTTTAAAAATATGGGTCGCGGCATTAGATTCGGCATGGGGGATCGTCGTGGTCGGGGAAAAAAACGAAAATATATATATATATATAAATATATATATCTGACTTGGATATTGTTCTTCGTGAAAAAAAAAAAACAACAACAAAACTTGTCGGATTGCGTTGGGAATATTTAATGGTTTGACGACGAAACTTTATTTTTTTCTTTGTTTATGTGAATCGAGTCCGTCTGCGGGATAATGTGCTCGGAGAGCTTATTATTTACCGTTCTTGGAAGAAAAAATACACTTAGTTTAAATATAGTTCAACTGTATAATAATATGTGCACGTACGGCGGTAGCGTACACATTGTACACGACACGGGGGATAATTTGTTAAACGGAGAAAACACGAAGTTTACTTGACAACCGATTATATCGTCGTCTGCCGCCACGGATAAGGTCCCGTCAACTTATTCCAACTTTTAATCTGTTATCACTCCATCACCTGCCGTACCGAAAAAGGTAACATTAAACTTTTCCAACTTCTAATCTAATATCATTAAACGAGTAGAGATACGACCTTAATGATATTACTTGGCTATGATAAAATAAAATATTGAACTGTGTGCACTATGTCGGCTATACTATTACATGGGATAAAAGATATACTAACGGATAAATCTCAATGGAAACCATAAGTTTATGGTTTCCATAACTTTTTATCGAAATCGTACACGTTTTTTAGATTCAGAGCGGAGCGAGGTATGCGTTGTTTTATACTATAATTATATGTCTTACAATGGTGTTTACTTATTTTACCGAGACCAATTTTTCTACCAGAAATCTTGCTCCGATTTCCGATTCTAGCACTTTTTCTGAAAGAGAATCTAACTCCGGTAGTACTATGGAGGCCGTTCTTTGATTATCCCAAGGGTTTTCCCAATAAATGGACAAAACCGGGAATAAACATAAGCTGAACGGGGAAATGTACGAAATGTGTTATTTGCAAATCGTACTGTTTTATTATTTTAATATTTTTTTTTACCTACCTTTATATTTGGATGTGTAAACGCTACCCAATTTTGACTTTTAAACGGAAACGTGCATTAAACATTCCGTAAATAGCTTCACGAAATTGATTTAAGCATAAACTTCGCGTAGCTATTTACGGAATTTTTCGTATAGGTTTCTATATTTAATAATCAAACACAGTTATTTTTTTCGTCTCCAATCACGAGAGCGACACGAAATAAAGTTTGATTGTTCGTTAAATTGTCAAAAAAGAAATGTTATTATTAGATAGTCCGAAACAAGTTTAAAAAAAATTCAAATTAATGAGCGTCGTACGTAATAATGATAACCCTGTATAATAAGTTTCGTTTTAATAAAAATTATTCTCTTGGTATATTTTTTATTATCACGAGAAAACATAATAAAATAAAAACCCGGTGTTTTCATCTTTATGACGAAATAAAATTATAATCAATGACGATTTCTGACCGGATTTTTCTAATTGATTTAAGAATCGTATAATATAATTCGTTTCAAAAAAAAAAATATAATTCGTTTCAAAAAAAAAGTTATTGAACTGCAAATAATACACTCTTCGTTTAAATATATTACTATAATTTATAATAGAGGACGGTGCCTTCCCGAGTGGAAAATTTCATTGTGAATATTCAATTTCTATTTTTGTTGAAAAACTTCAATGTGCGGTATATTCAATACGACGAAACGACGAGGTCGTTATAATAAAAGTCGAAAAAGAAAGTTTTCCGACTCATCACTCGTTCGGGTGTTATTGTTAAAAATTAAACTGCACTTTAACCAGACGTGTTCTTTATTTTTTTTTTTTTATCGGTAAAATATTACAGTAGTATTTAATATTGTATTCTAGAGCGAATAAATTATTAAATCACGTTACATTATTGTCGTGATGTTCATAAAAATTAAATAGCAACTTCCAAATTGCAAAATATTCAAATGGCTACTCTTTTGAGATGAACGTGATTTTCTGTAGCGATAGTCCTCCGGACGGCCTCGGGATCAATATTAATTTACGACAAATTTCACCGATTCACATTTGGGCGGCTATCGTTCAAACCGCCGGGAAATTTCGACAGAAAACACTCTTTTATTTACTATACTTTATAAATATATATATAAGTGTTATTATTATACAATAAATCAGTTTCTGTTTAAACTTTCAACGCCCGGGGCGACATCATTAATCGATTCCTGTACATTCTCAATCCGGCCCGCCGACGATTTCCTTTAACCCATTTAATCCCATCGTGTCCCCTCCATCACTTCTCGTTGAATTTCTGTTTCATAACGAACCACACACCTCGCGGAAAACGATATAAAATTATAATGTTTAAACGACCGTTTATACGCTTACATTGGATTTCCAGCCGCGCGTGCCTACTGAAACCGACCGACGTATGCCATGAAATACCGGTGTTACGGTTTTCATTTTTTTTCGGAACCCCGTCATATAACTATTCCGTTTCAATATAAATTCACTGCCGCAGACGACTCGCTGTTGTGACGTATGTCCGCAATCAAACGAACTTGCACTACTCAAAACATTCCTCGGAGATTCGCTAGTTTTATTTTATTTTTTTGTTAAAAGAAAAATAAACTATAGAAAAAATACATTATTAAAAATTAGTTTTCAAATTTTAAAGATACAATTTTTTTTTTTGGTTAGTTTACGACAAACTGCGTATACGTCGTATGAAATATAGAGCTGATTGGTTAGGAATGAGATTTTTTTTTTTTAATTAAAAATTAGTATAGTATTCTACACTAAATTTCGGTAGGGGTCAACCGACAATCTTATGAAAAAAAAAAATTAATAATAATAAAAAGCCGTTTATAATTTATTTACATAAAGAGTTTTACGCAGTAAACTAAAAATTTGGGTCATCTAGTAATGTGTATAAAATAAAAATATATGACTAAAACGAAATAGTACCGCGATACTATTTTTGCTATAATTTTTTTTTTTTTTGTTCATCCAAAGTAATTTTTAGTGTTCCCATCGTTAAAACTATAATAGTATACACGATAACTACGGGTGAGAGCAAACGGAAATATTGTGAATTTGAGTTTTTTGTTCGGCGCGTACTTGAAACGTCTTATTCGAACAAACAACTTCTGCCTCGTAGTTACCGGTGACACATATGAAGCGTAAATTTAAACACATAGTACTCGAGTACATGGCGATGGTAATACAGCATAATGTTCATAGCAACAAGTGTACAACGAATGAATAATAATGGAACCACCTCGTAACCCATTTGGATTATTTCCCAGCACTAGCGCGATGAATAATTAATAACAAATGTCGCCTATCTGCGATTATTAACGGTCTATAAAGAACGTTTTGAAATGTACAGGTGGTTTCGTACACGTGCGTGGAAAAGTGTCAGTATCAAACGTTAGAATGCCCGTGTAGAACATGAAATGTCGATCAATTTCGAAAATCGATAGGTATTTTTCATGTACAAGCGCGGATAATGGAAGATAAACTATAATATATAGACTGACTGTCGAAACTCTTGGCCGGAGTCAAAGATATATGGAAAGTAAAATGTTTTGCCTGTCGAGGTTACAACGTGTTTTGGACGTGTAGTTTTTAGTCGCCTAGATCACAGCACATTGAGGGATTTAAACTATGACGTTGTTTATATTTTAGCTTGTTGATGCGTTTACCAATCGGAGACAATTGAGTTGATTGACAACAACGAATCCATATCGTTTTGGAACGGTAAAACATAAATATTTTTCATGAATATAGATACGCGATATTAGTTTATAAACGAAAATGTTTTTCTTCTCTCTGTATAATGGATTTTAAAATTTATGTATAGCAATCCTTTGTTCTGATCTGATTTTACTGGCCATCAACTTTTTATAATTATTCCGCTCGATCTTGAATATAATATATTATTGTTGATACGGGCCACCGAGCTACCGAGATTTTTTCGGTAGCTCCGTGGTTCCATCCGGGCTTAGAGAAACACTAAAATGTTTGAGGGACAAAATTAGCCTCAATCCGCTTGTTACAAATTCAGAAAAAGTTAATACTTTACGTTGGATTGTCTATATTATAATAAA